CTGTGGCCTCTGAGCTGCTGCTGCTGCTGTTGCCAGGTCTTCGGGGTGGTTTTTGATATAAATATGTGCTCTTGCTAGTAAATGGATGATAAGAGTGAATTTAGTCTGACTTACTATGGGGAAGGGGTMGGAATCACTGCTGATTTCCTGATGAAAATCTGGAGCCAGAGACAAGATGTTGCAGTGCATCAAACCCTTAGTGAAGGTCCTGTTTCTGTGTCTCTGCCCATGCTGAGCTGGTGCAGGTCATTGTGCTGTCAGACTCCGTTCTTCTTGTAGCTTTCCGATGGCTCAATGATCTAGATTAAATTAAAACCTCTSATAGAAGATACACAGGGCTTTTTCACTTACACACATTTGACTGTGTATATGAAAATGAAAACGAAAACACAGGAGGTCTCCGGGTGTTTTAGAACTGGATAGAATTGCAGATACAAATAGCGTGGTGTTAGTTGTCCTTGYTTTCATCCCAGTAAAGTTCTTTCCAGACTATGAAAAATTGTCTGGGAGTTACTCATGTGATGTGGCAACACACTCAGGCACATGGTGTGGTTCTTGGGATTGCCCTGTGTGGGGCCAGGAGTTGGATTTTGATAATCCTAGTGGGTCACTTCCAACTTAGAATACTCCTTAATTCAATTTTATTATTCTATTATGTGATTCTGTGATCATTCACCATAAAATTATTTTTAGTTTTGCTCTAGTGTTCATTTTTAGAGTGGTGTTAGGCAAGTTCCTTTTGGTAATTGCCACAAGATAATAGAGATTGCTGAACATGAGCAGTGCCATGTCAAGTCAGGACTAGAAATCTGTAGCCACTCTTTCTTGAGGAAGCATTGTACAGTAAAACTGACTAAAAGCCTCACCTGTATCTTCTATAAACCAGACCATAAACAGTGTGGTTTACAGAGTTTTTTCTAAAATGTCACTGCTCACTGAGGGAAACTTACATTCTTGTACTTTTTTTTGCAGATGTCAGAGGATGAGCGCGGTGATCTCCCTGCTGGAGAGGGAGGGGATGAAGATGGCTATGATACCGTTGATGCAAGGCCAGACAGAAGCAGCAGGCGCTCACTTTTTTGGGGGTAAGTTCCTACTTGTACTCYTGTTCTTGTTGTCTCAGCTGCCACGCTACCCTTTTAACCACAGAAACATAAAAAGGCTTGATTTGGTGTTCAGTTTGCCATGTCCACGATGTTATAGATGGTCTGGATAGGAAGGTGGTTCATGTCGTATGTGTTTCATGTATCTGGTCTGTACCTTAAGGCATTTCTTTATAGTATCTCTCTTTAATGAAACCTGTAATATCTCCCATAAGTTTTATTTGGCAGCTGAGACCACCAAGTTCATTTAGCATCAATTATAGTCACAGATCTTAAACACTGACCTTTGGTGKAGCTGGGAGTTGAATATGCCATTAATTATCTATTTCACTGCTCAGCTCAGCTAATTTCCAGCATCACTGGAATCCCCTGCTGGCTGTCTAAGTTAGTTTAAAGCCTGGATGTGCCATCTAGGTTGTAGCACAAAGAAGCCTCACCAAGTCTAGGGATGTAACCCCTTACAGAATACATTAAAAGCCTTTCATTTTAAAGCACAGTGGTCTCACTGAGGYATAAGCTGACTGTCATTAAATCAGTAGGAAGCAAGAACTATTTACTGCTTCTCTGTGCTCCTGAAAACACTGGATGAATGTGATTGGAAATGCAAAAGATGAAAAATAAACATGCAAAGTTTATAAATGCTGTTGAGTATCAGCAAATGGCTAGTTCACATTGGATTTAGTGAGATTTTGTAAGAGTATTTAATACAAAGGCTAATGCATTTACAGAGAGGTTTTGATTTTTTTATTATTGGACATTTACATTAAAGTGAACAGTATAATTCAGAGAAAGTAYATGGCTAATATTTTTATTTTTGCAGTTTATTCTGTGAGTTTAATAGGGGTAAGAAATTTATGAGAGAAATGACGTCTTTAGTCTTAGATGACTTTTGATGTGCTGTTAAGCAAATCACTGTGCTTTCTCTGCCTTATTTTATCATTCCTCAAATATGTTTCATGATGTGCATTTGTATTATTAATTTTAACGAATAGACAAATGTAACATTTGTTTATAAATCTTGTCAAATGTTTTTCAAAGGTGTCTTTTCAACTTTTTAAAATACTTGTTTTGATATTTGATTTGGTCTTCTTTATAGAGGTGATATGCTAATACTATTATTAAATTATGCAACTCAAAGTTAATTTCTGAAGAAAAGGCAATAATCAGCATTTCTGTGACTTTTTTCTATAAGAAAWTTTTCAAATAATTTGGCTATTCATCACTTTGAGGCATTCATCTTTTGGGAGCTCCTTGAAGATGCAATTTTCAACATTTTTCTTCAGAAGTAAAAAATTGCTCAGAATAAGTATGAGGTAATTAAGAAAGTTCAACTTAGATTTTGTAGAAAAAAAAAGCAAGTTTGAGAAATCTAACAGAGTTTCTTGAAGAAAGTGGTGATTGCTTAAAGAGGAACGAGGTGCTCAGCAATTAAGATCGGAAAAATCCAAGCATGGAAARAAGGTCTTTGTCTTACAGAAACTAAAAGTCTTTGGCCTGGAGGAAGATAGGAGAAAATGAGAGGGTAAACAAAGWTGGGATTTGATCCAAAATTATGATTGTAACAAAGGAGAAGGTGAAAAGGGAACAATCATTTTTTGTGTCTCAAAGGAAATCTAGAAGACGCCCAATGAAAAGTTACCGCAGTAGGTTTAAAGCAAGTGTTAAAATGTAATTTTAACTTAGTGCACAATGTCACTGTAGAGGTTAAAGCCAGGGGATATGAGGGTGTCAAGATTTTAGGTAAGTTGAGAAGAGTATTCAGAGGTATGACTGGAAGAAAAGTCCAGTGGGAATATTGATGTTAAGGKCTTTGGTGAAGTTGTTCCTAAGCCAGGTCTCTGTGAGGATATAATAGATAACCAATTTATTTTCTGCAGACTCATTTCTAGTCAGTACCAGGTACCAGGTCAGATATACTTTTACTTCAACCATTGTGGCTCTGTGTCTTGTTTGCCAAAACTTCATTTTGGCAATGTGAAATAATATCTCTAAAACAAGATGCSTAGAAAGCTTTGGAGTGACTGCAATTGTATTGTCCCTTTTTATTTATTTGTTTCATCAACCCAGTCTTTACCACCTGTGGAGTACTTTCAGTGAAATTCTTCACTGCATTTAATGTACTATTGCTTAAAATATGTAAGTTCAATAGGAAAACAAGTAACCTGTGATGTTAAATAAGCACATTAATTTTGAGAGAACAGAGCAGTGAGAAGCTAAATTCAAAGCTGTGCAGAAAGACCAGCTGTTTCCAGTAGCTTCACAGCTTCACATTGCCACTCTCTGGCTGTGAATAGAGATCTGCTTTKTAAGAGCAGTAACTAGAAGTAAATYAAAATCTTACTCACTCCAGCWTGTTTCTCTCTGAGAAGTTTGTGAGGTTGCTTTGCCAAGGAGGCCACAAGGTTCAGAGCAAGCCAGGRTGGACAGAATTCTTCTGATGGCTCAGTACTTTAGGGGAATTATCTTCTATGTATTCCTTCTCTTTGGAAAAGTGCTAATACTTAGCTAATGTTGGTGAGGAAAAACTGTTGGGTGGGGAAAAGAAGTTTTGGGTTTAATTTGCCAGCAGCGTTTGGCTCCGGATTTTTTGTAGCCACTAGATGGCAGGAGGGTATTAATTTTGTGTACTGCGAAGAGAACGAAAATTGGGCTGAGTTGCAGTCGAGCAAAAAGTTATATTTCAGACAGCAGAAATATCAGGATACAGTCTGGCAATGCTGTGCACCACGAAAGTTTAAAACACAGATTAAGCTGAGGATTTTTAAATTGTGTATTTCGTTCTTTCTTAATCTACTACTCGGCCACTAAGAATTTTTCCTAAACAAATTTTTCTTTTCTATGCTGTATGTGCTCCTTTTGCRCTTTCAAGGCTTTAAATATAGTTTTGCTTCTTCACAAGATGTTTTAATATCTTCATTGGGTATCTTTTGTGTTTTATTGGGGACCTCCATTAAGGAGATTGAAAGCAGCATTAGCATCCAGGAAAGCTAATGAAACATGAAATGGAATAAAATTGCAGTTCCACTGTGTTAAGTAGAGCTAAGATTTCTCTTCATCCTAACTAAAGTTGGTATTTTTTAAAAGCTGTATCCAAAAAATCCCAAGTAGACTTGCACTTCCACTGTCAAAAATCCTGACTGCTCATGSGCTTCAGTGAAGAAACATAATGCAGCAGAGGGTGATTGTTTGTAGTATCTAGATACTGGTTTTATTCTAATTTAATTGTATGGAACCATTTGTCTTCTGGCTAGTTTTATCTGCTCCAGCCCTACTGTCTTGGTTTACAGTCAATATTCCCCATCTCATCTGGAAACAGAAAACACAATTTAAATAKATATTAACAAATTTACATTTTTAAATTAAAAAATTATATTTACAAATACTTAGTCAAAATTGAAAGTATGTGATTCTTTAGTGCCATTAATGCAGGCATGTGAATTAAAATGTTAGTAAAATCCCATGGAAAAAGCTTGAGAGGCTTGTAGGGTAAACAAGCTTAAAGTTACCAAGAATATTTCAGCTGTTTAACACTTCAAATGCAAAATATCTGTAAGATATTTATATCTGTCACGTCACACCACTGAAAAGTTTGAGATTTTCAGTTAATTTGAAAGATTCCTGGCAATATCAGTGTGCATCTCACCAATACTTCTATTGTTAATGTATCTACCAGGTTTGTAAGTCAGTATTTAGATGAAAAAGATTCGTTGATCTTTCATGGATCACACCTTTCCTTTTCATGTTTCTCATCTTTTTGAGATTCATCCTCAGCTGAACCTCAGGTTTGGAGTTGTAACAGGTGTGGAAAGTTGTCTTTGTTTCAGCTCTGCTTTTCTCTTGTTCCTCTGTCTTGTTCCTCTGGGGATTTATTTTCCATCCACTTTTAACAGCATTACCATCATTCTTGAGTTGGAAGGCACCCACAAGGATCATTGAGTTCAGCTCATAACTGGCCTGTGTGGGGATTATCTACAGCTTATTTTTATATTGATTTGTAAAAGATGCTGCTTTTCAGGTAGAACTTTCATTAAGAATAGCGTCACAGCGATGCAGAGGTGAATGTTTTCCAGAGTTGTCCATTCTGTTACTGGTTTTCCAGTATCAGAATATTACAGGCCTTTCAAAGTAAATATTGCTAAGAAAAGTATCCCTTTTATCCTTAAAYAGACTAAAAATAGCAAGCTACTTTAAAGCAAATAACAGCTGCTGAATCATTATGTGAAGTTATGCTCTGGGCTGCAACTCAGATGTCTGAGCTGACCTCCTGTTTCAGCCTCATGTTTCCTTTAAGGAAAGTCACTGTGTGCCTTAGCCTTTCTTGTAAATGGGTGATGATCTTTCCTCCAAAAGTCACAGCTCCAAAATCTATCACAATATAATTGAAATTTTGGTTGGAGTTGGCTTGTTCTGCTTAGCACAAGGTAAATATCAGTTGTTTATGTACACCCCAAAGTGCCAAACATGAAATTTCAGAAGTAATTTATAGTCTGGTAAAGTTCCCACAAAGACAATAAATAGAGTGTAACATGGAACAAGAGGGATATTTCATTTTTATTACTCTTTTTTAAGTCATAGCCGAGGCGGGGTTGGAGGTATTTTTTTGTGTTTTTGTTAAAGCAATTTTTATTAGATCTGGAACTCAGCTACTGGAGACGGCTGTAGGAGTGTTTAACAGTGAGTGGAAACTGTGGTCAGTGCTTCTACTTTCCCCTTGGATGCCTACTGGATGTACCACATAGGAAATGCCCAAGTATCTTGAAATAGTATCTAGTCCATATTATAAGAACTTATTAATTCACTGACAATATTTGTTTCCAGTCTCCTTAGAGACTTTGTATAATAAAGTACAGCAAACACTGGATGATCCCGGAACTGTATCTGCAGTGATCACAGTCAAGCATCCTGATTACTTTTCAGTGTATTCATTTATTTCCTTCATTACAAGAAACTCTGGGCTGTATCGTACAGAATTAGGAGCACAG